GGTTTTCTTCAGCTTCGACCGGGCTGCAACCTTTTGCGAATCTATAGGTATAGATGTATACCTAATAAGCGCGTTGCCGACAAAGTAGAAGTTGCGGAGAAAGGCAGCCAAGCGTGAGCATCTCGCTCTTCTAAGCTGTTAATACCATGTTAATAAAACACTAGTAGGGGAGAATAAAAGAGAAATACTAGCAGTTTTACTAGCATTTTACAATCCCTGCCTCAATATATCTCCCAACTCCTCGCCTACACCCTTAAGCTATATTGTCTATAATCCGTCTAGTTGCTTTAGTCCCTCTCCTCCCTTTTAAATACTCCAGCAAAGCTGTATACCGTTATTAGGTAATCTTTCGGCCGAAGGGTGAGTTTACTAACATTCTTACTTTTAAATGCCGGAGAAAGATCCAGCTCGGCAATAAATTTAATCGTTATAGCGTTATCGGCGCTAGTTATAGAAGTGGCATCCGTCTCGATCTCTAAATAAGTATAAATGCTATAAGCTGGAGGGAGTTCGGGCTCTAGAACTAATAAGGCGCTGGCATCGCTCTCGGCCCACGTGAAGATCCAACGGCGGAAACGAATTAGATACCCCTTTCGCGTAGTCGTTTGTCGACGTTAAGAAGATATATCGGAAGTTCTTGCGTAAATCAAAACAAGGCATATTATGGGAAAGGTGGTTTGCAATATAATATGTTAGGAAAGTTAATTAGAAAGTATATTAGTTGCTTAGCTTTCTACCTTACCTTTATATACAGACACGTAGACTAGAGAACTAGATTAGGTAGTCTGGCGTACTTTAGAGACGCGGAACGGGATTTTTAAAACAGGAACCGCCGCTTAACCTTATTATTTCAGAGGAATAACTAAGTTACCTAACTTTTTCGGAATAGATTATTATATTTCCATAAGGCGGGGTTTCCTTACCGCGATTCGAAGAGCAACGTTGCTACAACAGCTAGCAACTGCGGGAATAGAGGAAATACTACAAATACTACAAACTTGGCAATAATATTATACTATTAGCAATAGAGCGTATATAGAACTTCTGTCCGTTTTATAGCTAATAAATAATAGCAAAACCTTTATAGAGAACTTTATATCCGATCTATAGAACAGCCTATAGAACCCCTAGATCGACCTATTTAATTGGCCTTTTTAGGTTAACAACTATATTAAAGGTCTTTCTACAGCGTTGAACTTAGGTAATATAGTTAATAACACCGTCCTAGATTAGGGCTTTAACGTCTTTAGGAACGGTCCTCTCTTCCAGAACATAATACTCTTTAATAGAAGTGCAAACCCCAGCCCGAGTAATACTGCGCCCTATCTAATACCTGCGCCTATATAAATAGCTTATATTACTCCCCCTTTAACCCAAAGGGAACCGAAGGCCTGCATCTGCTGCTAGAAATTGAAAAAAGCGGTATAAGCTTTTATATATTAATTAACCCGCTGATACTAACAGCTCCAGTGCAAATATAGCGAAAATAGAATATGCCAGTCCTGCGCGAGGTCCAACATTCCATTTCAGGTTTGCATTCGTGTTCGATATGCTAACCAGCCGGTTTTTGCTAAATATAAGTTATCTTTCCCACGGTTATCTTTTAAGCTAAGTTAATAAGGGAAAAACACCGAATATAAGCAGAAGCTTGCTTAGGAGCTTACGTGTACATCCACCCTAAGGCCTGTTCTTCTTCGGCATAATTAGCAGGGACCCGTTCTTTAAGCAACGTGCTGTAAATTTAAAGCCAACTCCCCTAATTAAACCCGTCTGTACTATAAAAAAGATTGGAGTTAGGAGTATATATAGTCTACTCCCTTTGCTTTACGGACGCCAGGTTTTTTAGATATATATATTAACAAACATACACGCTTCTATCTCTAATAAGTAGGAAATAGTAATTTATAGGTTGATTAGATCTTTACAGAAGTAAAAAAGTATTTAGAGGTAATTATTATTTCTTATAGTATTTTTAAAACGCTAATATTTTCTAGGATAGTTTAATATAGAATATGTTAAGATTATAGGCTGCGCATCGTCTGCTTATAAAGGGCTGGGAGGTGAGTAAGGTTAAGATACTTAGAATGTCCAGAGTTCTAAACTATTGCTCGTTACTCTTTAATATAATTCCTGCTCCTCTAGCACTGCAATACCAGCTAGACTGGAAGCTAGAATAATTTATTGCTAACTTAGAGGTGTTATATCTAAGAAACCTTTAAAAGGCTATATAAAAAACCTAAAAAACAGCTTAGATTATAGTATTTACAGTAGTTCTTATCTTATTATATATAAGAGAAAGGGATATTTAGAGATTGCAGTATTAGGTTCTACACCTAAATAAAGTAAGTCTGCGCGCTAGTCCGTTCTTATTCCATAACTTACAGAATTCAGCGCTATAAATAGCAACACCCCGATAAGGCGGCTACCCTTATTAGTAACAGCGTGCATATTAGCAATATTCTTCTATTTTATCTATATTTCTTTAGAGAAGTTCCCCAGGAGTTTAAAGGCACCGAAGAGAGCTTGGAATTACTTTAGTTTAAACCGGCTTATGCTTAATATAATTAGATAAACAAAAGAAGTGTGGATTTTTCTCTATACTTTCTAGCGTTCGACCTAAACAACGAGAAATTCGGAAGGTAAGCGAAAGAGCAAGACTTCGGCTGCTAAAAAGCAGCTATATTATACTTATTTTAGCATCTGGAGATTATCTTAAATAATTATGCGGACAGAGTTATAAACATCTTTAATTAAGCCGCGATAGTTAATCTATAAGTAATTAGTAATATTCCACTGCCGAGAGTGCCTACTTACAGGAGATACTAGTCCATATAATTGCAAGTATTATAGGATTAGCGCGTTATTTTCCTTAAAGGTCGCAAGTCTCCGTATAATAGATTTAGGATTGTTATCTATTCTATCTAATAAGTCGGATCGGTGTCTAAAATATTTTTTTATGTCTGTTTCCAAGCAGTCTAAGAAAAGTATAAAGAAATAATTGCAGATCTAAGCTATAAGTTAGTTAAAGTTTAATAGAAGAGTAATTAAGTAAGTACCTTTAGCTTAAAGTCCGCCGCCTGTTCTATATTTCTTAGAAATCCGTCTAACAGAAATCTGCTTTTTCCTTCCATTTGCGCTTTATCTATTTCCTTTTTCAAGAGCTGCGTAGTTAGTTAAGCTGGGAGCAAAACTGATTTCTGTATACTTTCCGGGATAAAGTCCCGAAAAGGAGACGTCGAGCTCCTTACTTCCTCTCGCAATAAATCACCCACTAATATATGATAGAAATTGAACTCCTTAGCAAGTAGGGCGCACTGTGTTCCCTTCCCAACGCCAGGCCCTCCTAAGGATATATTAGCTAGATTAGGGAAATAATTAATAGGATATACCGATAACAAACACAATATTAATATCTACTTATTGTCTTGCTTTTAACTCTTTATACTTCTGTAAGCAGGTGTTACGCAGAGGAATAAGTTCCGTTAGAGTAATCTTTTTTTTTAACTGCATGAAATTATCTATATTATAACTAGTCCGTTCCATGTATACTATAGCTTATTGCATATATTCCAGCTTATTAACTTGCTTTACTAGTAAGGCAGCTCGGGTCTTCCCTTTATCGTATTTATACTATAGCTTTAATATTATATCGGCGAAGTCTAAATTCGTACCACGGATAGTGCACGTAAGGAACTTAAGAGCTATTTCTTTTTAAGTGTATTTCTCCTCTTTTAAATATTAGATAGAATCCGTTAAGGGGACAAGGGTTATATACCTGCACTAATTCTATTGGAAGAAGCAATATCCCTAACTAATGCTTCTCCTATATCGTGAACCAACGCTATATATTCCGCTTTTATCCGCGTCTCTTTATCGAACTATTAAATATTAGTAGGAAAAGTTAGCGGCATGCTGTAACTAACTCCAGGAACTGCTTAGTATATAAGTGCTATACGGTATATATAGTCGCAGACACTCTTAGGGTTTAGAACGCCGCGGATAACCTAGCTACGGCGCTCCGTATTTTTTAGGAGCTCTACTAGCTTGAGAAACCAATAGAGATCTGCTATGTCGGAATTGCGAGAATAGGATAAGGAGTGATTTGGTAGATAGTAGCGATAGCGTGGCACGGAGATTAAAATTCTCACGATAGAAATTGCGGAGATGGGTGGCTCGGCAAGTTTTCGAGCCCGTCACGTGCCCGCCAATCAATTCTGGTCACGTGATAAAAAATTCGGAGGACAATAGATATTAATTCTATATAGGAATCTGGCTAGGCTATATATATATAGGTGAGGCCTATACGGCCTCTAATTAAACTAGATCTATAGTAGGAACGCCTCCTCCCCTTCTAAACCCAATTTGCCTTTAAATCGCCCTGCCTACACGTTGTTCGGGCATTTTATCTTCGGCACAGTTATACTGCTGCCATCGGCATTATAAGCTAAGGCTTCCTCGGGTATATAAGGCCGTGAGATAGGCATTCAGAGGGCGGCGACGAGGCGGTAATGCATCGAGAGGAGGTTGTAATAGCTGAGGGAGGTTTCTATTGGCTGATAAAGACTTCGCGAGCGTGCGAGCACGTTTCCAAGAAGGAATTGGAAGAGGGGGGAAAGAGAAGGGTTGTGATAGGAGGTCACAAGGTTACACGAGCGTTGTCCTGCTCGTGCCGATAAGCAATTAACGTCGCCATAGCCAATAGGCATTGCGATAGTAATCTAATAAGGCTCTCCTTGTGATCTGGCAGCGAACCTGTGATCCGACGTGTCGTCGAGACTGCGTGGTAATCCGGGGCTGGCGTGGTGATCCAGCAAAGTAATCCGGAGCAATTTGTTGGCAAGTTGGGGTATATAGAGGCCCTGCCCTACGCCTATATACTTTCTCTTCTACACTTAACTTTTATTAAGTAAGTTTTAGTCTCTTCGACACTTTATCAAGCTGCTTCTTCCTTCTATTTATCTTGCCTGCCACTCTGCTAGCTCTAATTACTACCATCCCTTCTAATAATAATCGCCTTCGATTTCATTTCTCGTCTTCGGTACCGCTAGTTCTGCAGTCTGGAGTCGCTTCTTCACAGCGTTAATTGTAGCTTTTTTCTCTTCCTGCTCCCGGAGCAGATTCCAATGCAGCAACTCGGGTAACTCCATCTCTAATATGTTACGGCGAGTAGTATATAGAGATGTTGCACGCAAGTGTACAGTTAAGGTAGCCATCGGTCGGAAAACATAAGGTCGCACGAGGCTGCTATCTTCCTGGGGGAAGTGGCTAGTGAACAGGCTATTTGGTGGTTTAGGAGTTGACTGTAAGAACGGGTTCTGCATTAGTTGCGCGCCGTGGTCGTGAAATAGTTTGGTAAGTAGAGAAAGGCGTGTGAATATTGGCGACGTGTTGCACCTTTCCAACGTTATTACGCCAGGTGGCATATTGCTGTCTTCATCTTCCCACTTATCCTTAATTGCACTTCCTATTGGAATCCTTTTTATATTAGCTCTAAATAACCTTATTGTTAAACTGTAATATATTATCTTAGAATGTTTATTAGCATTATATGTATACAACCTTGTTATTTTTATATACTACCTGTAATAGTTAGGGTCCGTCTTTCTTAAGTGGCGGATTTAACTTTACCTCGCTATAACCTAAGAGTTAATTCCCTAGAATACTATAAGGTGGATGCGAATATAGGCGATCTATAATTAGGTTTAAGGACGCAAATGTCGAACTGCAGGAAGGTAAAAGGCGAGGGCCGATAATAGTAAGTTAATAAGCTAAAGGAGCCTGCATATGCTTGATATAACGCAGGGCTCCTAAATAAGCTGAGATTCCAATTAAAATCAGTATCAAAACAAAGCATAAGTTCACGTAACCGATTGAGCCATTTTAGCGGGGAAGAATCTATAGCCTAATTGGCGGCCTGCCTGAGACGATAAGACTCTATCTCTCTTTTGCAAACGAGTGGTAGTTCGCAAAAAGGGAACAGTATAAAACTACTGCTTGAAGAGAATTGTGGAGGTGCATAGGTGATTTACAAGGATTGTTAGCTTAACTGCAAGCTATGCTAAGGCTTGCCGACGCCTGCAAACTGTCGGCCAGCTAGGCATGCAGACTGTTGGCTAGCTAGGCATGCAGACTATCGGCCAGCTAGGCATGCAGACTATCGGCAAGCTAGGCATGCAGACTGTCGGCAAGCTAGGCATGCAGACTGTTGGCAAGCTAGGCATGCAGACTGTCGGCGAGCTCGTCGACGGACGGTCAGCCACCTATATACCTGTGGGAGTATAAAGGCCGGAAGAGGGGCCTCTGCTTAAGAAGATAATAGATGCGGGCGTAAAGAATATGGCAGAGTACCACTATTACGAAATCGTTCACGATAAAGGCGCTGGTGTTAATGTCCGCAATAATTTGCGTAAAGGGCTAGGAGGCGGAAGGTATTTACTGCTACAAGGGCACTCTAATTCACTCGCAGACCTCTCTAAAGCTCCAACGGCGGAGAGGGTTATAAGCATATTGCATGCATATATATAAAGGCGCGGTTTATAGTTATTACAGGCGTGCACTGGTACGGAGAAGACCGACTTAGTAATATATAGAGCTAGTTACGCCCGGCAAGGCTAAGAATGCGCGTTTGCCTTTAGTTACAGCGACTCCAATCGCCTATCCTAAACCTCCGGTTCGCATCTTTCCTACAACCTCTCTATTATAGCGGGGAAAATAACTTTATACAGGTATAGAGAGCCGTAGTGCTTACTATATATATATCCCGAGTCTCGCAAGGCTAACCCTGCTTAGGTTGCTTTCTACCTTATTATCTAAATACACAATGTCTAAGAATACTGCTAAGCCTAATTAGTGTCAGGCTTTAGTACCTTAAGCCTGCATTCTAGAAATATTGTCTTCTCTAATTAATATTCGACCTCACGAAAGTTCGACCAAAGTGCAACCTTTATCCGACCCGAGTAGCTGCAGCTTATAGGATAACTTAACACGTTGCAATTCTATTAGGACCACCCGAGAAGGATCCATGCGAGAAGGATCTATGCATGGCTCCACGGATAACGCTTACTTAGATAACCGCACACCTACTAAAAGCAGCTTAGACCTATTGCTCTAAACCCTTAATCCCACCGGATTCTCTAATCTTCTAACCCTTAATCTAGCCCAGTTTTCCAAGCTATAAGTTATTAATTAATGCTACCCAGACTTCCTTTAAACAGAGCAAAGCACGCTCTCCCAGGAATAACTGGCCTCTCTAGCCAAGTCTATATACACTAATCTGGGAATAGTTAAGATAAAGTGTATTAGCATTATTGCTCTCGCTCTACCTAAATTGGCAAACTACTACTGGCAAGCAGGAATTGCTCTATATTGCACCTTACTGTATAAGTATATAGATTTCTTTAAGGCAACTTAGTATCCCTCTGCCTTAGCATCTCTGCGTAATCTTCTAATTAAGCACTTAATACTGAAAAGAATATAGAATAATAGTATTAAGGCGTTCCTCTAATAGTTATAGTGCTTTCCTTAGTCTTACAAATATATACAACTCTTTATCCAGATTATATATAGCATAATATCTTCCCTCTATAAACTTATCCTAAGATTCGAGGATATCTAGGCTAAATGCTTAGGAGACCTCGCTTAGTGGCGCATGAGCATGGAGAATAAGAACGATGCACGAGAGATATAGGCTGGTATCGCACGCGCTTAGTACTGCAAAGTGGCTAATAAAAGTCCTTCCACCGGCCGGCTATACTATTATTTTGCTATTCTGGCAAACAAACCTACCGAGAAGCTTTACTACTTATTTCGCTTTCTAACCAGTATTTAGCTATTTACACTTGCGTGGGAAACTTTTCAACAGTACAATTTTCCAGAATCTAGTTGGCCCGGATCTATAAGCCTAGTTCAGGCTTATTATATTCTAGCTGGAAATATATTAGGAAACTTTAAAGCATTAAAAAACGCATTCCTTAACTATCTTTACAAAAGTATAGGGCACTTCCTAAGCATAGGGATTGGGGCATATATTGCTATTATTAATATTACCGGCCTTTTTATCTATGGTTTAGACAAGTCTATATGCACAAGAGCTCCTAAGCCGAAGTTATTCCTTTTCTTAAGTTCTCCCTTTAAATCTGCGCGAGATCTTACCTTTTTAACGCTTAAAGTAGTTCTTTAGAATCCTAATAGTGGAAATATACTTCCGCATATTTATATTCTTCTTACTTTTTTCTTAAGCCTTAGCAAAGTTCCTAGTTCCTTATTTGTTACACACAGTATTCTATAGAAAGATATTATAGCTTGCTTAAACGCGCTGTAAAAAGCATGCGTGGACGACAAAGAGGACGACAGCTAGCCTCTGCCAGAAGACTACCTTATACGCGGACAAGCCTAGAGTTAATCAATTGTTAGTAAAGAGCAGTTCTCTAAGGAAGCCTTAATAGGGAGGTTAGAGAAGGCTTTTTTTGTAAAGTTAAGGAGACAACAGATACTATAATATGGCCATCTGCTTGCATCTATAAGTCTATACTATTAGATCTAACATTACAATATCTAATATATTACCAGCGTGAATATAAACTATACTTCGATTAAACTTCTCTTATTTGGTCCGTCTATGCAAACTCTATAAACGTGGACCCAACAGCACGGCTTATTATTATTGTTTAGAGATAGAAGGAGTTATAATCAAAGTCTCCACAGGCGCATTGCGAACACTGCGGCGCGGTGGAGTTGGTGGAACTAAAGGTGGCTTGTAAGAGCGGGAGGATTATACGATCGAGAGAACCGTGCGATTGAGAGGATTGTGCGAATAGGAGAATCGTAAGAGCGGGAGTTACCTATGTTGATGATCAGGGTGTGGCATAGTTTGGTCAGACACCCGATATACGAAAGTATGATTTGAGATTTAACTGTTGAAGATCTAAATCGACCCTTGGAACAAATTCCAAATAAGAAAATCTATCCGCTAAGGGACCTTGTCTATCTCCACTGTCTTAGATGCAGATCGACAGAATCTCTTTATTAAACGTCCCAAACTACTATATCTTGACAATAAAGAAGAGACAAAGCTCTTGCCCTGAATGCTTCTTAAGGAAGTAAAGGTCTTGGAGTTTCTTAAACAACGCCACCATCTAAATCTTATCAGATTTTATAGATGTACCGTCAATCGCGGTTATATTACCGGAATTGCCCTCGAAAAGCATGAAGTCATGTTGCAATATCACTATAAGAAAGTTTTAAATCTTGATATTGTTGCTTGCATAAACAGTATCCGTGCAGGTGTTGAACACGCCAAAAACCCTTTATTGCAACTTACAGCTCGCGCGACCCGCGACACCACCGCACGAACGTCGCCTCGCGAGTCATTAAGAGAGGGACCGCGGCGGCGGCGATGAGACGGCGGACGGCGGCGGCGATGAGACGGACGGCGGCGGCGATGAGAGACGGGACGGCGGCGGCGATGAGAGAAGGGGACGGCGGCGACGATGAGACGGGGGACGGCGGCGGCGATGAGAGACGGGACGGCGGCGGCGATGAGAGAAGGAGACGGCGGCGACGATAAGACGGGGTTATCAGCGAGCCGAGCACTTCGACGCTATGCCGAATATGCACGGTGGCGGAATTTCCCCAACCTTACTCTGTTAACAACCACATGAAATCTCCCACAACGAAAGCTATGATTGCTACGGTAAGTGTCCTTTGCCAGCCTAGTACAGCTTGGCTCCATCTTAGTGGCTGCAGAGTACGGTGATGCTGAGATGCTGGTGTACTGGAAGCACGTCTCCTATTCGCCTTATCTAAATAGGTAAACGTTGTTCCGTCGGAAGTCGAAGTGGTAGATTTAGCGCGCTAAGAAGTATGTCATCCTCCCTTTACCGTCGGCGCGTTGTCCTCTGGCCAAGCCTGCTATATGAAGGGAAAGGAACCCGTTAGCTTGTTCAACTCCTCGCTCGTAATACACAATGCCCTGAGCATAGTCGCTAACTTAACCATCGGCGTACCTTTGCTGCATCTCGAAGACCCTTATTACACTCCTGCAGATTCGCGACCCGCTCCAAAATTCGTGGCTACCCACTTGCATGGTCAATCCTTGCTCGTCTGCAGAAGGGTTTCTATATCGTAATGTCCTACTAGAACGGCTGCCGAGCCACATAGCGGGCTAAAAACTTAATGCCCCGTTATATAAAGCTTCCTTCAGTTGGTCTTATAGTTCTTGTTTTATTGCGGCCGCGCTCTAGTCCTTTCCCAGCCAGAGAGATAAGTAGGCACTATAGACCTTTTATTCTTCCGCTCTTCATTTATAAATTGGTTCTATTCTACCTATCCCCTTAAGCTAAGCAACAAAATAAGTTATATTCCAAAAGATTATAGAAGTAAGGAAACAGATATATATTGCAAGCTAATTAAAGGTTCGCCTTTATCTTCCCTTCTTTAACGGATTGCTAACGCATTTTAGATTAGCTTAAGGTTGCCACTATCCTAAATCTGCAGTGGAATAGTTGCAAGCCGAGACTAGGATACCTTCGAAACCAAGCTCTTAAATACGAAGCCTTTATTGTTAATATAAATACTAGAGATATTCTACTGCACTTCAGACCGGAGGATAGGCACAATAGATTGGACAGTATACTTAAGATGATATTCCGCTATCTAACAGCCGAATCCTTTCTTAATTTTAAGCCTAAGGGGGAAGAACTTCAGAAGGAAGGATCTGGAAAGGAAGAACGTCTAATAGATCTTAACTAAGAGAGTGCGAGTTGAGAAGATGATTTAACAGAGGGAATGAAAGCTGGGTGGGATGCGGCGGCTATAATACTTTCTTGCTTGCAATCTCTAAGCAAAATCGTTGCTGCTTTACAGGGGTTTAATTCCCTTTAATATTATTCACGTAATATAGCCCGCTTTGCGTCTCCCCGTTTTCCTGGCGAATTCTTTCTGTAAGTCTTGTTGTTAATGCAACGTCCAGATCGGCATTGCTGTTGAAATGATGCTTAATCCGTCACCCTCCACACACTATGACAAGCCCCCTAATTGCATCAATCGCCCCCCGAAAGAGGCAAAGGCTGCGCGCTGACGCGCTTGATCGCCTGCATGCTCCCGCCCAGCAGTCATGGTCCAACATCGCTGCCTAGCTGTCGCGGTGCGATTCGACCCCGCCTCCTGATGGTGCATCCCTCGCGCACGACCGCCATGCTCATCCTGCCCACCAGCGCAAACGCCGCCACATTCTGGGTGAAATCCAGCACAATCAGAAGACGGTCGAGATGGATGGCAACAACGATCGAGAAAGGGGCGCAAGGCGACAGACGGCGCCTGAGGCTCGCGTTGGAGGCACCCGCCGCTCCACCCGCCTCGCTGACCTGCCTATGCGCCCAGCAACAACACCTGCGAGCTTCGCTGGTGAAGAAGTCTGGCTCATTGAGTCCAACGCTGGTCCTGCGATCGAGGAGCCTGTGCAGCCTCAGCGGGTTCCCCTGAAACTGCCTGGCCCCGTCCTGCCTGCCCTATCCACCGTATCGAAGGAGATTGTAGCAGTGCTATAACATCCGAAGACGTCCGAAGGGATGAGGTACACGCGGTCTTTGCCCGGTATGTTGCCGAGGGCCGAGAAACCCGTCTTCTTGACGAGATGTTTGCCGTCGCGATTTAGGACGGCGGCAGCCACGTCGACACCGGCGGTAATCCCTTGTCCAGTGCCCATCTTCTGGGTGGCGGCCGGCACCACTCCATGGCCAGTGCCAAAGTCAACACTGTATGTCGGTGTGGCCGCCACAGCGGAGAGCCTCAACTACCTGTCGCACAAGCTCGATGAAGTGGTCCCGACGCCTTGAATTTCCTCTTAAACGCGTTGCATGTGGCGCAAGCCTGGGCGGATGTCTTGCGAACCATGTTGCTGGGGCAGTGAATGGACGATTGTTTGGTGGTGTAGGGTGGGAGAGTGGAGAGAGTGGAGAGTGGAGAGTGGAGAGAGAGAGTGGAGAGTGGAGAGAGAGAGTGGAGAGTGGAGAGAGAGAGTGGAGAGTGGAGAGTGGAGAGTGGAGAGTGGAGAGTAGAGAGGGAGAGTGGAGAGGGAGAGTGGAGAGGGAGAGTGGAGAGCGCCGCAGGAGAGTGGTCAGAAGTACAGACAGCGATAAAGCAGTGCGGCGCAGGAAAGTCGTGGGCGGATATAAAGTTCTCCGTCATTTGTTGGCCGCAAAATGAACAGGGTGTATTGATGGTGTGGCTCAAATGACAGCCTCGAAGGCCGCGGAGCCCGCCTACGCTAAAGCATTATATTGGCGATATCATCGCATGCCATGCGCACATCTCGATCCCATTCAACGCCACAATTGGGAGGTGCTATGTCTTTGTTAAACCATACGGTGAGCCCTTTTTTATTTCTATGAATAGCTTGTTCCATTACCCGTGTGTATTCGATGACGGACGGGATTGTTAATGTTGTGCCGGCGACAAAAAGGGCATCCGGTCGCTGGTTTAAATCGATTTTCAGCGCCGCTTTGATCTTCTCTTCGTCCGGGTTGTCGTCGTTATAGAGCACTATGTGAGGACGTAACCAACCACACTTACGGGGACGCTTTTTGTTTATAACCCGACTTTCTTGTACTTTACTACACTGAGGGCACGGGACTGGAGACGTGCTTTCAAAGACGGTTGGATTGAAATCCAAGATTGCGCTACACTTCGTGCAACCCATTTTTAGAATGTTGCCGTGTAATTGGACGGTAATAGGCCACAAAGGGGGTAGCAATCTTTCGATAGCGTCGATATTCTGCGTGTACAGGCGCAGAAGGCGTTTTTCCTCGGCCAACTTGGCTAGCAAGCGATGGAATGCGGTCGGTTTGGCATCTTTACAAAGCGCATAGAGATCCGTAATCGTTGAATAGAACGCAGCCGTACCTTCGTCGGTATTGTATATAGTACGATTGAAAATGTCAGAACCGAAGGGAGTTTTAAAAACTCCCTTGAAAGATCGAAAGTCAGGAACTACGCGACCATTAGTGCATGCTAGAAATAGCGACAAAGTGTGACGTACTTCCAGCGGACACCGACATTCCTGCACCTGCAAACACGACAATTTTCTTTTTTTTTGTCAAGTTCTCCCAGCAGACGTTCCAGATCTGCCGAGATCGAAGGAGCTAGAAGGGTTGGCTCTTTTTCCGCATCTTCAGAAACGGTATTGTGCAGTGCAGCAGAGTAGGCAAAGCAAAGCAAGCGGTTGAAGGAGTGTACAAGGTTGACTGAGTGGGTGGGCAATCTTTGAGTAGAAGAAGTGAGGTGGTGCTAAGCCTTGCGTACTCGCTTACGTAATACACATCGCGAAATTCACCCCAATGTGCATGCCACACTAGTTCTCCGACCACATTTACAGGCTCAGCGGCCTTCATCTAGGCCACAGCAGGGTAATCAATAATTTTGCTCTAGCACTATTCCTTAGCCTTGTTAGCCGCTAGATTTCAATGTCTTATTAGAGCTTACCAATTCCCATCCAGCGCAAAGAGACTTAATTATTTGCCTGAGGCTCGGCCTGCTGGTGCTTTTAACTTTAAGGCCGTGTCTTTGCAGTCGCCTTAGAGGAATTCTTATATTAGTTTACTTAAGTTGCTATTTAGACAGTTGTAACGAACCGCAGTTCTTATTAAGCCGGTATTCTCTAGAGAAAGCGTTAGCTATACGAAAATGCGCTGGGTATTTGCTTTTATATAGCAACTATATTTGCTGGGTATCTTTTATATATCTCCTAGTATTTTATACACCATACTCTTACTATATAGCGGAGATAAGAGCACTTATAGTAAACCTAGGTGTAATTATATATCTCTAGTAGTGTGGAAAGAGTTAAGTAATTTTAAATGCGAGCTATAGGACAGCTCCCCTTCTTATTTAGACGGGAATCTTAGGTGCAGTATATTACCCGTATCTATTATAAAAACTAGGGGTGTTGAAGTTTTATACATTACTAGAGCAAGGTTGGCGTTAGCCCTTTCTTAGGGACCTGGCTTGGGTGTAATTAGGTTAGTTTGCGGGCGATAATAATGGGCGGTTAGGGATGCTAGCTGCGCCTTACCTGGTCTTAACGCAGTAACCCTGCCATTGCTAGGGTTTCTGAGCGTTTGCTTAGTTACGCGATTTGGTGTGGATTAAGGGTTAAGGGACGAGGCGTGCGGTTGTATAAGGACTGTAAGGTGAAATAGAATAGAGCAGGTTTAGGCAGAACGCAGCTGTAGTATAGCTTAATCTGCAGCAGATTAAGAAAGAAGTTTAGGTACTATATATGCATAGCGCGTGCAGGGTAGCTATACTTAAAGTACTATATTGGTTTAGGTGTGCTTAGCATAATTAAAAAGACAGAGAAACCGTGAAATTACTCTGTAAGTTATAAACCACTAATATACTAAAAATCACCCGTGTAGTAAGCTTTGTAAGCTGCTACTAACCGCCCTGCTGCATATATCGCACTCCTGTATCTAGTTGTTAGGATTGCTGAGCGTATATATACCGATCCGACAGTTTAGCGGACCGCGATGTTGGTAAAAATGCTCGTCGGCGGAGCGGTGAGGGTGTAAAGGCTTCGCCCGCCTAAATGCTTTCCACCGGTTCGGAGTGGTTTACGAGATACGGACACATGCTTTGGCGGTCCTAGACAAGGTAACTAATCACAGGTTTAGAATAGACATCCTGTAATCTGCTGTTCCTGTTGTTGTCTAGTAAGCCTTCGTCCGACTAATAATCCACTTATATCGGCACTTGTTGTTTAAATACAGTCCCTTAAAATGGGCGAAGCCGGTGGTAAGGCCTGTAAGATATTGGAATTGGCTGGTCTATCTAAGAATAGTAACGATAGAATAGAAAGGCTGCAGCTTATTAGTATTATAAGGTTAATCTTAACAGGGATATATAGTGCTTAGGAGTATAAGAAGAGGCTAGCCTTCGAGGCAATTTAGTAGTCGCTCCTAAAATCTAATAAAACGACGAAGAAATAGTATATTAAGCTGGGTTAATAGGTTAAACTACTAGAGGCAGGGCGACCTTTATAAATAGGCGGGGACAAAGTAAAAGGCAATAAGCGGCCTTCTGTCACCGACTTTAATCTAGGCGGGCGCTTATTAAACACGCTTTGTTTCACCTATAGAGGGTGGTAAGCTAGACAATATACTAAAAGCGAGTCTTAATTTCGAGACTTATCCTGCAGTTTTAATTCTTATTGCGTTAAGGTTTAAGTAATAAGGTATATAGTTATAAAAAGACTGTAAGTGAAATAGTATAGGTTTAGACAAAAATGCAGGCGTTGTTATAGCGGGGCTTAAGTAGATTAAAGAAGAATTTCAGCTATTATATACTGTGCAGCGCGCAGCTAAGTAGGCAAAGAAAAATAAGCAGGTTAAGAAAGTGTACAAGGTTAAGCAGGTAGTTAGTCTCCGAGTAGAAGGAGTAAAGTAGTGCTAAGCCTTACGCTACCTCCATCACGTAATAAGTCCGAGCACATGCTATAATATAAAACACGTCCTGCTTATACGATTCCTATTGCAGTGGCTTCCAACGTCCTCGATTAAGGTATATATACTTCGCATTTCTGGCTTTATTTAGCCCCCTTTTTCGAATTTTCGCTAATCTCTAGTAGTGCCTTCTTTGCCACTCTGCTGTGCAATATACGGTATCGCGACCGATCTACTTTCTTCTTAATAGAGGTATAACTAGTAATTGCAGTTTTAGCGGTAATAGTGCCTCCTCTAGAATAAGCGCTTTGTCGCTGTTAAGAAAAAGGTCTGCATCGCTAATAAAATTGCAACGTGTTAAGTTATCCTATATTATAAATAAGCTGCTAGGTTTTAAAAGTATACAACTACTCGGGATAGCGAATTGTTTCGGTGGGGCGGAGCTAAATACTAATGCCTAACCGGACGAAGGTTTCACTCCTATTAAGCTTTTGCTAGGTCGAATATCGATTAGATAAGAGGATGTTTTTAGAATGCGGGCTTAAGGTACTAAAGCCTAAAGCTGATTAAGCTCTGTAGTATCCTGTAATATTATAGATTTAGGTAATAATATAGAAAGCAACCTAAGTAGAGCGTAAAGAGATTTAGCCTTGCAAGACTTAGGATATATATATATAGTAAAGCACCAGGGCCTTCTATACTAGAAAGGATTAAGGTAGGAAACTTAAGAATAGATATCCGTGGCCTTATTAATAGGAGAAGAAAATGCATATATATATAGCTTACAAGCGGACAGGAATTTTAGAGCGGGTTAATATAGGAGTATAATAAGGGTCTTTAAGATATAGAAGAACGCTAGGGGGGTAGTCTAGTGCTTAAGGAAGGCGACCCTCTAATATTAACGGCTTAAGACTAAGTATAGTAAGTTATAAAAGCAAAATAGAAACGGAATAGCTATATTACTAGAAGGCAGCACGCTATTTAGATATAGAATAGGGACTAGGAGGATATGTATAACTTAGCCAGATAATATTACTTCTTCTTTAACTCTACCTCTTCCTCTTCCGTCCTACTCTTTGTCCTACTCTCCGTCCTACTCTTAGTCCTACTCTCCGTCCTACTCTCTATCCTGTTTTCTATTTTACTGCGCTGCAATATACTCTCCGGGCTCCTTATCTGCTGGCTTCTTAGCCCACCCTTTATATCTGCAGACCCAGGCCTCTTAATCTTCCTCCTTTTTCTAAAATACGGTTTAATAAAGCCAACACTTTCTTAATTCCTCTTCTGCTCCGTCTCCAGCACCGGTGCTGTCCTAGCGCCACTACTACTTGCTAAATTACTCTTAGACACTGGCAACCGGGTCGGCAATTACGGACCCAGTTGTAGTAGCAGGGTAGATTATAATCTTAAACTGTTAGAGCGGCGGCCGCTAAAAGAGCTGTAGCGGCGTAAGCGGGGCGCGGGCCTGCTGTTAGCGCGTTGGTAATGGAGATAAGGTTGCGGTTAATAGTATAGTAGGTGCGGATAATAATATTGCCTAGGTTCTAGGCTTTGCATTTGCAGGATGTTTGCCGGCGTGCTATACAGCATTACAGGACGGCCGCTAGGAGGCGAAGGTATACTAGTAGCGGAAGGGTGGAGCTGGAAAACGGGAGCGTTAGCACGGGCGCTTATTTCTTGCTCGCCCAGCTGCCAGTATATGCTCTTAGCGGACCTCCATGGGATCTGCATTTCCGAAGCAACCTTTTGCTATATTTAGTTCTTAAATCTATTTAGTATATTAGCTAGGGTTTAATAGGTTAGTAAAGGGGCAGTAAAAAAGTAGGGAGGTAGACTAAAAACGCTGTAAAACACAATATTTACAGCGTTGCGCGTATTATATTTTTCGAAGAGCAGTGGTTAAGGAGGTACCTACCAAGCGTAAAGCCTCGCGAGCTTATTTTTTTTCTCCTTGTTCTAGACTGCGCGCTTCTTAAGGTAATTCTGGTATCGGAGTCGGCAAGCAATAGCTAATTATCCTGGGAAGTGCTTCGCAATATCCTCCTATTTTATTCCTGTTCCTCTAAGCTTAATAATTAGATTATCCTCTTCTTAACCCTATTTTAACTGTCTTTTAGCTAGACTTTCCTGTAGTAATAGAGTTTGCGACGCTACGCGCTTAATAGGTGGGAGTGGAGGCGAACTATAAAATAGCGCTGGAGGTGCTGTGCCTAGCGGACTAGAGTAGAGCGGATAGAAGCTCTAGGAATACTATAAAGGGTTAAATTGCGTATATTACTGCTAGAAAACAGCTAACAGCTGCAGTACTAGTCCACCTTATATTAATAGAGCAGGATATATTAGAGAATTAGGAATATATAAGAGAAACAGTGTTATTCCTATAGATAAAGCTACTAATAGAGACTTAAAGCCTTAAGGCTTAAGCAGTAGATTAATATTTATAGCGGCTAATATAGGCTCTAGGCCAGCCTTTTTATAACTAATAGTGCTGCTTTTTCCTTCTTAAACTATATAAAAGAGTTTTAAAATAGCAGGAGATAATAATTCGGAGAATTATTAATAGTTGGGTGCTAGAATTAGATATGCAGTAGTTAAGAGCTTAATAGAAGTTCCTATATTTAATATTAGGGACGTAAACGCTTAAGTTATAAGGGAGACTGTATATAATTTAGGTTAAGCCGCACTTACCCGGGCGCTACGGTACCTAGCACTGTGTATATCTATCTAAATAAGCACTTTAGGATTTCGGGTTTTACGCGCGGGTTTAGCCAGCAGAGGATTACTTATCTAGTTCCGACGACTTTAAAATAGTATAGAGAGGACAAGAATCTGCGTATTTTAGCAAGCTAAATATTAGATAAATTTACAGCATTCTATAGTAAGGGTTTACTAGAGCAAGATAAAAGTATTATAGGAAAACTAAGTATTTATACACCTTCGCTATCGCCAGCAAAACCCGTATATATAACCCTAACCCTGTCGGCGCCCACTAGTAAAGTAAAAAACAAGGCAAATAATAAGGTAAATAATAGAAACCAGCCTTTACAGTTTGGCCCGGACGGCAGTAGTAGTTATAGTCTTATTAATTTAATAATATTCTCCTTTCTAAAGTTTTAAAATTACAACCTTAATATCTGTAGTAACTGTAAATATATACTATAAATAGTTAGATTAATTAATTATAGGCCGGGAGGTATATACTATATTTATAGGAGTTGGCGCGGGCGTATAGGGAATATATTACTTGCGTTTGTTATCTAATAGAGGAGAGAAGCCTTAATTATCGCCGCCTGTTAGAAGGGAGAAAAAACTTAAATCTATAACAGTTATATTAGGCTTAAAAAAGGCAACTAGTAAGGGGTAATATAGTAAGGCAACAAGTTAAAAGAAACGAGCTAAAGGGCGTTTTAACCGTGTCGGGCGTAAAGTGCTATATAAGCTTAAGCACTTTATTACTAATATTTTTAATCCTTATCTCAGCGTTATTAATATATTAGTGGGCGATAGAGCACTAAGTGCAGCCTCCGACCTAGGCACACCTTGTTAATCCGTTGGGGATATAGGAAATAATCCTAACTAGTTTTCTTTTCCAAAAGGTCGAAGCACAGTTTTAAGAAAGCTTAGCTTAATTAGCGCAAAATAGTGGCGAGGGTAGAGTATATCCCGTGTTTAGGGAATACGCTAATCTATATACGCTGACCGAATCGGTTAGCGTATATAGATTAGCGCATTTAGCCTTACTTATGCAATTCCTAAGCTTCTAAACCAAACGTACACTATTTAGAGATAGTAATTAATAGCGTGTATAATACTCTGCTTAACTACTGCTAAAATTGCCCTAAGTTTAGAAAGAAATAGCAGTTTACTAATAATAGGATCTCGCCTAAGATTATAAAGAAGCGGAAGCCGCAGGCAAAACGACTAAGAAAATACGTTCTAGCTATCCGGGCCGCATATATCCAGAAGATACCGAAGGCTACTAAGTGGAGTAGATAATAGGCCGAAATTTTCGGCACTAGTACGGAGTTATACGCAAAGATTATCCGTTTTCTTATTAGTGGCGCAACCTAGAACACGGCAAAAAACAATCTAAAAAGTTAATATTTAAACAAGCTTATTACTAGCGGTTTTAACCTTGCTTTAATTACAGACTTTTTAATTAAGAATACGCGGCTTTAGATATTAGTTTCCAACTTTTAGGCGCTTATTCTACTTTTATTATATATAGTTCTCCTAGATATTAGGATAGAACAGAATATTATAGATAAAACTATAGGATTGGTTTCTCTCTAGAATAGGAAGGATTATAATAAACTACGTGCTGGCGCCTTAAAAGTGAATTATGCAATTGCTAGACTTATTAAAAAGGGCTAGTCTATTTCTTATACTTCGGAATTACTCTTTCTTAGTAGGTACTATAAGCTGCTTTTAGCATCGCATGCGCTAATATATTATAGACACTTTTTCTGCAACCTCTCTAATTAAGTTAAAGAATAAGGATTAGAATGCTATCTATACCTTTCTTAAGGACGACTCTTATATAAAATATAACTATAATAATTGCCTTAGGCCCTAATTTTCTATCCTAAGTCTTATTATATCCGTAATGCGCTTGCATATTATAAAGAAGGAAATAATCTAGTATAGCCTTATTCTCTTATAAGAAGGATAATACTAACTAGTTCGCAGACTTAAGGTTATATATTTAGCCCTTAGATATATAGTTAATAACGTTTCTCTTAATAATATAGATAAGGTCTATCTAGCTCGCAAAGTATTCGTTAATAGCAATATTATACCTAACCCTTAGCCTATTATCCCTCTTCTAACCCTAGTAGGATTTTAGGAGTATATACTTAGTAAACTAGTATATAGCAGTTCCGGCTATTATTATAAAAGGAATACAACTTCCCACCAGGCCAATATAGATTCCCCTGGGAGAATATAAGAAGATTAGTTTCTAATTTATAAAGCAAGATAGGTAGATAACAACCTCTTATTCCTATTTGTATATAATTTAGATATAGGAGATAAACCAATATTAGTATATCTTAATTAGCGCTAAATATACAGTTTAACGGCCCTTCTATACTTATCTGCTATACTCTAGTACTTTAGGCCAGTCCTGTTATTCTGTCGTCTCTATAAAAATATATAAGGGTATTATAAGGAAAGGAACCGCCTTTAGTACTATTTAAAAGCCGACACTTTTAAAAATTATATTAATCGAGTCCGACCGTAATTTTGTTTTATACTTGGCCGTCTTAATTTCCTTACTTTGCAGCCGAAGTTCCGCATTCTTAAGTATATCGGCAGAAGTTTAGAGAAGATCAAAGGCTTAGATATATTAAAGAAGATTAGGGGTTTAGATGCGTTAGAGGATTCCTTTAGTATATCGGAGAATTTCTTTAAATATATTATTGGAAATAGGGAAAGCTAGAAGGAGAATAATTTCGCCTTTTAACGTCTTAAGTATGCCAGCACTCTGTAAAAGAATCGCTGGCCGACTACGTTTATTAGGTTTTAGTACCCTAATCTTCGCTCCCGCAATTATAGCTACCCTCTTTTTTATATTCTCGGACTATAATATAATTTAATAAATACAGTTATAGTGATACTGGACTATCTAATATACTATAGTCCTAGCAATCTCGCTAGTAAGATTATTAATCTCCTTAACCCACTTATACTTAAATACTTCTATACTATCTTTAATAAATAGCACTGCTATACTTTCTAAACTAGTCTCTAGAAGCAACGCGACCTCGCAGGTAAGCTTTTAGATACTTAGTGTTGTAGCTAGAACCTTATATAAGGGTATAGTAAGGTTAGGAGTTTATATAGTTATAGAAATATTAGAACCCGTTATATTAACAATATAAGAATATTCTATAAAATGCGAATTGCAAGGCTTTAAATATAATAACTAGATATAGCTCCTATTAAATGCTTAACATAGACCTCTCTAGACCCAGCGAGCGTGGAGAACTAGTAAGGCATGCGGGGCACAACACGTAACCGTGGACGCTTTGGAAGAACAATTATCCTATCCTATTCTAAGCAATTAAGAAGAAATATATTAAATAACCCCTTATGCTTAGTCTTCTAACCTATTAGATTTTTTATCTAGTTTAGAGTATTCGGAGAAAGGCCTAAAATCCGTAGTATACTATTCGGAGGGGTTTAATAACGGTAAAGAGCGCAGAGGAATTATAGCCACAGAGCCTTAAGGGGCTGGAGCGCTAACTTAAGTTTAGCTATTGCTACGCTCAGCTTCTCTGTTAATAGTTATAGTACTGCCTTTTTAGCTTATTAGATTTAAAGTGTTCGAAGTAGTGTTTAATTAACTGCTGGATATAATAGATAAGCGGGTTAGGGGAAGAATATAAGAGTTGGTGAAGATAGTGCTTATATAAATGTAAATATATTGTCTGGAAAAAGGGTACTTATACTTACCTTAGTTAGAAAATAAGAGTAAGTAAAAGTTTCGGCTTACCTAAGCTGTAAAGAATAAATTAGAAAGGTAACTATTAACCGATAATTGCTAATAAACTGTTCTAAATAATTATAGGACTTTATAGCTAGCATATCTCTATTATATATTATCCCGCTCTATTAAATAAGACTATATAGGTAATATAGGTGTTGTATTCCGCAGCATTGTCCAATATAAAGAACTTGTAAGCCGATTAACTAGAATCGGCCTCGAAGGATTCTAAATATCGCGAACTTGCTTCCCTGCAAGCCTCTTGTCAACTAAAGCATTATATCCTAAAGTATTCGTCTCCCCCTTAATAATCTATAGCAAGAGGGTAGGTTATATATATTAATACTGTTAATATACTTAAGAGCTTAATTAAGTTAGGCTATAGGATATACAGCCTTTTATTTAGCGTATTTATATTAATTGTAGTATATAAGTAATATGCTTGCGTAGCGTTAAAATAGTGTATATCGTTTATTTGCATAGTATATGCGGGGGCTGTGGACGATGTTTTAACTTGCAGGTTTATTATAGAATCTGCAAAAAGATAAGGCTGGAAAAAGGCAAAGCTTATAGTTCGATTGGCGGAAGGGCAGAGAATTCCCCCTGTTAATAAGAAATTCCTATAACCCCCTATTAATAGAAAGTTCTTATAGCCCTCTATTAATAAGAAATTCTTATAGCACCTTGTTAATAAGAAATTCTTATAGCCCCCTATTAATAAGAAACTCCCACAGCCTCCTGTTAATAAGAAACTCCTATAACCCCCTATTAATAGAAAATTCTTATAGCCCCCGGTTAATAGAGAACTTCTATAACCCCCTATTAATGGAAAATTTTTATTATCCCCGCTAATAGAGAATCTCTATCGCCCTAGTCTAGTTAGTCTACTCTTTCTCTCTGTTATTTAGCTATACGCACTGTTAAATCGATATATAAGGAATTAGATCTTATCGCCTTATATATTTAGGAAGTCCATCTCTATAATACCGCGCTTAGTAATCTGAAAATAAGAATATTAAAATTATTAGGACAGATTAAGGTGTATTATGCGCTTAAAACTACTGTAATACAATTATAGGAAAATAGTACCTTTATAAACTCCTAAAAAATAGAAAAGCTTCTTAATATTCTCTATAAAGTCGACTGCATAAGTGCTAAAAATAAACGGTGGGAGATATTGCGCTCCTTAAACTGCGAAATACTTCTATTTATTAGGTTATCTTATACTTCTTATACTATCGGCAAATTGCACCGAAATATATTTAACTACTTTATTAAAAATATCCTTAAGTACCTGTAAACAAATCCACCCCCTCTAGGTTAGATATTTTGCCAGGAGTTTAAGGTCACGATAGCAAAGGCAGGCATTTCTTAATTTAAGAGAAGTATATATCAGCATCCCCGTTGGAGGCCAATCTAGCTTACCCGCAATAAGATTATTAAGAACTAGAGTATAGTACGGCTACTTTAAATACCGAAGGCCCTTATAAGCGCCCCCGCACAGGTTTATTAAGGATTTAGAATTACTTTTCAGCGTTTAATATTCTTTAACTATAGAACAGCGTAGTAACGAAAATACTCTATAAGATATAACCTAAGGAGCTATTCTCGGCTATAGATATTCTCTATTATTAATAACTAGATAGGAGGAAAATAGGGGTATAATAAAGCTTATAGGTAGGTAGATCGTAAAGTTGTATAAATTAAAATAATAATGCTGGAACTAATATGCGAAAGGTGCGGAGACAGATATAAGCTTGCTTGCTGAAAAACATTATATATATTCTGTAGAAGGTAGGTGCCCCTACTTTAATTATAGATGCAACTTTATAACTAATTCTTAATAGAGCAAAATTTATCCTGGAGCGATTATGCTAGTCTATTAAGCACTTATCTACTAAACTCTAAGCTATCTTTAAGCTCCTTAGGTAGGCGTAAGTAGGGTAGATTTTATTATATATAAGGCGCTGCTAATAATATTTAATTTAGAAATTTAATATATATTCTTAAGAGGACCTAAAAACCTTATAGGCGATATAGGAAGCCCTATTTATAATGCAATCCAGACAAGCAATTAATGGAAAATAGAAGATAGTGTAAAAGATACGGAAATAATATATATATCCGCGGTAGTTGCTAAGGGCCAGAGCGAAGATATCTCTATTACTTTCTGGGCCGGTTGTAGAGAGGGACTTAAAGTAATTAACGCTTTTAGAATGCAGCCTACTTAGCAAGCTTTACCCAGCTATTAATTACTTTAACCTTATACTTAGCGGGAATATTATAGTCTATATACTCTGTAATATTTCTTTTTTTTTAGTATAGTTCGGTGCCTTTTGCTGCTTTAGGATTATAGACCGTGACTAAGGTACCTTCGCTGCATTCTATTCTTCTCTCGTAATCTACCGCATTAAATATTCGACCGCGGAAATATTTATAGTCTTCCTAAATGTAAATTCCAATTAGCTTTAAATAAGTTTAAGAATTTAAATAATATTAACACACCTTCCTAAGCATGCTAAATTACTGGTAATGTTTCGCGTAGGTAAGAAAAGATCTATCCTATATTATTAGCATTCCTCTACAGGTCCTAAAATAGATCCTTATAAGGTATTTGCCCGTAGGACTAGTTTAGAACGCAAGCTCTATACTAAAATAGTTAGATAACGCCCGGCGGATGAAATAGAAGGTATTATATTTAAATTCCTAACTAGAAACTAATAGGGAGTCTTAAGCTCACCCTGTAAAATATTTAGATCCGCTAAAGTATAAGGCTTAGAAAAAGAAAGGTAGTGTATAATCCTAGTAGAGAGCTGGCGTAATAGCTAGATACTAAGGGCGGTTTTCTAGTAATAATACTTAGTAATTATAAAGGTTGTATATAATTTATAGAGCTAAGAAGGTCCCAGATTATAGAAATATACTAATTTTTAGGATTAGGGTAAGGTTCGACAGAGGGGTGGTTCGATTAAATAACAACTTAATTTAGATATGCGCTAGATATAAGGCCTGCTACTTTTAGTACTATATTAGCGGCTAAACCGGCTAAATATAATATACTGCGGATGAAACAGCTTATTTTACTACTAACTTCTAACTATAACTTAATATTAATAGGCTTAAGGTTCTAGAGTGCCTAAAGCCGAGGTTAAGAGTTAGTAGAAGCCTTTTAGATACTAAGTCGGCTGGGGAGGAAAGCTATAATTCGCGCAAAGATCTGTTAGCGCGTTAGTAGCTAAGAATAGAATAGAACAGTTAATATCTACCTTAATATCTTCTAAGAATATAGCCTCTAAATGGGTGCGCCTAAAGAAAACAAAATAAGAAGTATAAAAAAGGTGGATTATAAGTTTATTTACAGAGCTACTTTAATAAACTGCGCTATAGGAAATTAGTAAAGTAGAGTTTATAGGCGTAAGGGATATAGATGTGTTGCTAAGTTAATAAAATTATATAGCTTACTCTCCGGCGTTAGTGCCCGACGGCTGCAGCCGGTTTTGCTTAAGCTTATCCTACCAGCATCTTTTTAGTATTACGTGCGTAATAAGCCGACCTGTTAAACAGCGGAATAGGAAAGGCGTCCGCTATAACGCGTATTCTAGCTAGTCTATAGGATTAGAATTACTGGCTATATATAGCTCCTTTTTACTATATATAAATAAATAATTACCTTAAAGGACTGTATAGTCGTGGCCTATTTTTATTTATAAAGGGTAATCCGATCGCTATATTATAATATAGCAAGCTAAAACTTAATCCTAAGGGTGGAAAGTTCTATAATAGATAATATAAGAGATAGGGTTTGCAGACATTTATACTCTAGAAAAAACACGTACTTTGCTAATATTAGGAAGAGCACCAGCGCGTCACGTATACAGGAAATCCGTAAAAACCCGTTTGCTCTAGTTACTCTATTCTAACTAGTCTAAACCAGAACCTAGATAAGTAGTATATTCCTTTTAAAGCGTACGCTGCGCACGTCTACTAATATACTTCCGACTACCTTTTATAGCTATAATACTATATTTCTAGAAGCTGTATTTACTGTTTAGATAATCGTATTTCCGGTAAGTACCACCCCTGCACTGGTATCGGTGCCCGACTAGGCTAATTTTCGCAGCAGTATTTCCGTTGCCCCTCTATTAGCGCCATCTAGCGGGGCAACAGAATATTAGGGCGCCCGCAATATTATGCATTCTAAAAGCGCATAACCCTAAACTTTATAACCTTAATTACCCGCATAACTATATTTCTTAATAAATTAATAAAGCGTATAGCCTAACGTCCGACAGCCTGCCTAGCCTGCAGCTAGTTTTCGCCTGGCTTAGGCAAAGCGTTACGTGCGTAATAACTACCTTACTCCCTAATTAAATGCTAAGAATTATATCCGAATTTGCGGGGTTGCGGCAGCCTCTATCTTATTTTATTCCATTTTATTTTATTTCTTTTCATATTATTTATTCTATTCTCCTACAACTCTTTAAAACCGTTTTTCGACTCTAGGGCTTTGCAAGACGGATTATGTTTTAGATATAACAAGCAAAATTGCCGCAGCTGCTGGCGTCCTATACTATTGCTATACAAAGGCGCAAGACTAATTAATTCTTAATAGAAAGATAAAGTTAGAAGCTAATTTTAATTCCCTATAGCGGGAGAACTAAGCGTCCAGGTTCTAGCCCAGCATAGCGACGGCCCTTAAAATGCAGAAGTACGCTATTAGGGGAGCGCAGTGCTTAAGAAGGTAAGTGGCCCTCTTAGTTCTTCTTCCCTAGTAGCCCCTTTAATATTATTGCTAATCTATAGATGCTCTAGTCTACCCTTCCTATTATATAGTAGCAGGCTTAGTTAAAACTTTAGTTGGACTATATAGGCCCTAAAGAAGTATACTCTAGGATAAAAAGGGATATAATACTAGAGTTAGAACTGCGTTTTAAACTATACCGCTTTTAATATACAGCCACTACGCACGAATTTATATATCTACCCGGGCAGGGCCACTTAAATATTGCCTTCTGCAAGGCTAAGCTTTGCTTATATTAGCCTTTCCTCCCGCAAAACCGGCATCCTAATTTGCGTGTTAGTGCGCTGCCTTTTTATTATATTTGCTAACCAGCATAACCGGTGCAAATATAGGTAAAGTATTAAGGTGCCAGCTTATTTAATTCCTTAATTTAATATAGGACGAAGTAGATAAACTGTTGCTAGCCTTTAATATATAATTCCCTAAGTATTATTATACACCCGTCTAAAAACAAGTACCTACTTACTTCTAATAGTATACCTCTGCTTAAAGGCCGCAGTCGCTATATAGGCCCTGGACGCTTAGCGCTGTATATTAAACGCTTACCACGCTCCTGCAGATTCTTAACCCGCTCCGAAATTTATAGAGACTTATATAATCAACCCTTATTTACCTTATATAGGGATTTAAGGCCCTGCTCCTATTTATCTCTTAGGTTCCTGCGGCTGCGCTCTTTTAGTAAGCCTAAAGCTGCATAATAAACAGCCCGGCTTTACCACCGGTTAAGTATGCACCTTTAAGCAGATTAAGCTCTGCGCTGGCTATTAATAAAGTTTGGAAGCCTGCAAGCGTAGGTGGTGGCGGTCGGGTAGGAAGTTAAATAGCCTTGCTTTATTCTACTTTACTGCAGACGTTAACTCTTAGCCGCGCTTCGGGCCTACTACTCGACTAGGTAAGCAGTAATTAGCCTAGAGTTTACTAGTTATAATTAGAGAAGCGATAGGGCGTAGTATATATAAAATAGTGTACTTAGTATTGCCTTATTTATCGCTATACAGCTGCAATTTTTACAGAGTATAGCCCTATAGCCTTAATATAGGTGTATTATAAACAGTATCTTCTATACTTAGGTTGCAGTACTATAACCTAGGATTAACAACTTATATACTAGAAAGCTACTCTCCGAATATTAGCTATAGAGAACCTAGCTAAAATCTTAGCTATAGAAAACTAAGCTAAAGCCTTAGCTATGCAGGGCTTATCTAAACTTACTAGCGCGCTATCCTAGGGGTAGCCTTCTTCCTTCCCCTAGTATATATATAACTAGCTAAACGTCTATAGAAATTAGAGTTTATATTAATTTTAACCTAAGTTCTATCTATATAAGAAGCTACTGCAGTATAAAGGTAAGGCGTAATAAGTAGCTAATCCGGGTTATATATATATAAGAGGAGCTATAGGAGATTATCTATTATGCAGACAGGTATACTATATCTGCAAGAGCTATATATTCGAGCCTTTACATGCAGCACCCTTTCGCTAAACTCGCATATATTATATATTAGCGCAGGTAGATTGTTTTAAAACGCAATATTTAATACCCCTGTTCTAATATCGATGCCCTTCGCTTAAAACGGCCGTATGCAGGAATATTCTTATCTATAGAGCAGCCCGGGGAATAACCTAAGCACTAAAATAATATGTATAATATCCTTCTATACTCGCCTTACCTCTTTAACTATTAGAGTGTGCTTACTTTATTATCTATATATATTGTAAGCAATATTTACTGTAATCTGCCTTATACTATCTTACTTATATATATCTAGATATTACTACTCTAATTTTTTAATATTATAAATATAAGTACTATAATAGGATTTACTATACACGTTCTAATATTCTATACAGTTTTTAGTAATTATATTAAATAAAAATATAAAAGCGCTTACCTTAGCTTTTACCAACTAGGCAACTATATAGTAACTTTTAAGTTCTAGATAAGCCGCTAAAGATAAAAGAACAGCCGCTTAGGATAAGAGGGCAGCCGTAAGGGCACAGAATAAGCAAAGGGCAGAGGCTAAAAGGGCAGAGGCTAAGAGAGCAGAGGCTAAGAAAGTTAAAGCTAAGAGGCTAGAAGGGGAGACTAGGTAGAGTGGAGGTATATTTAGGTTTTTAAAATATTTTAGCCTAGTCCTTTCTAGGCTAAAATAGTCTAGTCTAGTTGTTAACTTTAGCCGCGAATTTTTTACAGAAACGACGTGAATACACCTCCTTATTCCTTAATTTTATTTTAATAAACTTAGCTGCTTTAGAGGTCTAAAACGCCAACACAGTCCGGTTAAATTTAGGGCTAGGATCTTTAAGGGGCGTGAATATACCCTAAATATATAATATATAGAGACTGTAGAGCCCGTTTAAATAGTCTAAGGTAAAAAAGTACTAGAAATTTCCAGATTCCCAGCCTTTGCGCATAATCTAAGAACGTAA